AGCCCTGGGTGGCTGCGCCTTAGGCATGGTCCAGAAGTGGCTACTCTCCCACCCTGGCTGCAGCAAAACATCCTGGTTGCAATGCTCTGGGCCATGCTCCTGCGGTCCCCAAATCTGCAGAAGGCAGGAAGGGACCTGGGCCATGGAAGGGCACTGGAAGCAGTGCCAGAGGCCCAGCTAAGGCTTATGACCTGCATCCTCTCTGTCCTGAGCTGGTGTGACCACATGCCCACCCCAGGAGGGCCTGCTGAGCACTGTCATCCATCACCATCATTTCATATCCCGAGGCACTGTCTCACTGCCAAGAGCACCGAGACATAACTGTGTTTGGAGAGAATCCTCACTGAGCGGTGCTTCCCTGGCCTCACACCCTGGGGCCACCTGCTCCCTTCTCTTAGCTGGCGCCGGAATCCACATTAATTCTGTTGTTTTCCCACGGAAGCTGCTGGTTTGTACCTTTGCCAAGGCCCCGACCTCATGGATGATCCATTAAATGTTGGCACAAAACCCACCCGGGGCTGGTCACCAACGAAAGTGTGTTTGCAGTTGTTTCAGGGACGGTTTGCTGCCTGAAGTGTGTGATGGAGGAGCAGCAGGGAGGCCAGATGGGGGCTGTTGCAGAGAACTGGTGTGGGCACCTTGTAACAAATACATGAGAGGCAGCTCGACACAACCCCAAAACATTTGGAAAAACAGTTAGTCTGGGAGCCTGCAGAGAAGTCGCCATCTGAAGGAGCAGAAATGGAAGGGAGTTGCAGTGAAGATCCTGAAATTGTCTTCCCCAAGCCGAAAATAGTTCTGTAGCAATGATGGCTTTTTAAAAAAGTAGGTGCACAGGTTTATTTACTCAGAAGAGATCACAGAGCTTCCTGGGAGGTGTTTATTAGAATGAGCTGATTTAATCCTGTGTGCGTGTGTGTGTGTGTGTGTGTGTGTGTGTGTGTGTACACAAGCACAGACATGTAAGATTCTGCTTAAGCAGAGAAACACATGGGCAAAGTAAGTAAAGTTTTAATTTTTCAGGTTTTGAGGAATTTCATTAGGTAGAAGTTTCTCATGAGGGCTGAGCCCTGGGAACGAGCATTTTATGTTTTGTCCACCTTTACATCTAGTCCTGTCTGCCTCCCTCATCACAGCTAATTGAATTTGACAAGCGTGAAACTTTTCTGAAGTGGGGACTCCTTGACCTGCTGCCAGCGCTCTCTGGTGACCAGTGTTGTACCCATTTCACAGGGAGGCCGCAGCGCTGCTAGCACCTCCAGGGCCAACAGCCGGACTTGAGCTCGGAGACCCGGGGCGCGGCAGATCTCAGGCTCACGCCCCCTTGGTCTCCTGGGCTCCAGGCATGTCAAGGCTCTGCCGGCGGTGGGTGGGACCGTCTCAACACCTTTCCAGCACCTGCCATGTGTTTCATTGCTTAGTTGCCTTTTAATTTATGGAAAGTGTTACTGTTTCCATTTGTGGCAGTGATATTTTCTTTCAAAATATGACTATTCCAATGGGCTAATTTTTCCTCTTGTAGAACTTCGTATAAACGGGCTCACAGTGTGTGTTGCGTCTGCCTCTTCTCTCCACTGCGGGTCTTTGCACTCAGGGCCTCTCCTTTCTCCATGCGGGCAGAGCTGGCGCTGCCCACACACCCTCCTGCTCTGTGGGCATTGGGTGGGTGGTTTCCCGTCTGGATGGCTGTGAACATCGGCTCTTGTACCAGGTCTGCGACGAGTACCCCATAGGTCCTGCTTTCATTAGGATGGTCTGCTGAAGTCCCTGCACCTCTGGGGACTGTGCCAGGCACAGGGTGGGGGGCATGGGAGGTGCCACCCGCCCTGCTCTGAGTTGAATGATTACAGCCGTGGTCCCACCAGGATGCTGGTTCCCCGAGGGCAGCCCGGGTCTGACCATTCTCGGGCTGGCCCCGAGTGCTGGTTCTGTGAGCACTGAGTGAGTGGGGGAGGGTGTGCCTACAAGGGTAGGTGAAAGGGGAAGCATCAGGAGTTCCAGGGGAGGCAAAGGGCACACGTCTGTGAGGAAGGGCACTGATGCAGGGTCATCTTCCCTACCTGGGTGCGTCGTCTTCCCGGAGGGCTGCCCCTCAGCTGGGACCCCATCTTCCGCCCCTCCCGGCTCTGTCATCTGGCTGACCAGCTCGGGGGGCCTTTGAGCCCAAAGCTTCAGGGCTTAATGCCAGGCCAGAGGGGCCGTTCCAGGCAACGGGAAGCCCAGCGGCCCTGCCTTCAAGGAGCATTCTCCACCATGACCTCGCTCTGTTTTCTTTCTGTGAAACATCATACTCGCCCATAGCAGAAAACCAAGAAGTCGATTTTGTTATTTATTTTGTAGAAAATTTTTGAAAATCCAAAATGTTGAAAGGAAAATGGATCGTTTATAATCCTCTCCACTCGGAGACACTGGTAGTAACATTCTTCTCGCGCCCCCTCCGAGCCATTTCTCTGGGTGTGTGACCTGATTTATTTTTAGAGTTGGGTCAGAATCAATAAGTAAGAAATTTGGGGAATATGATCTAGAGTTTTGGCAAGTCTGTTTTTCCAGCCCAAAAAATTCCGCTCGCAGTCCCCCGAGGCTGTCTGTTCTGCCTCACTGTGTCTGGGAAAGGGGCTCGGGCAGGAGCTTCACTCCAGCGCCCGGCCATGGCCCCCCAGCCCGGAAAGCCCAGGGCCTGTGGTGATCAGGCCTGTTGCTCATGTTGTGGGAACTCAGCTCTGCTAGTGGGGGGCCCACACCCCTTCTGCTCCCTCTGCCCGTTTTTCTCCGTCTGCTGTGTCTTGCTCCCGTTCTTGGGTTTGGCATCTTGTTCTGAGGTGGAGCAGACAGGGACGGCCGCCGTCTTGCCATTGCGTCAGTCCCCTGAAAACCTGAACCCCTGTAGCAACGAGCTCCCGTGCGATGCAGCTGAAAGAAGAGGTGTCTGTCTGTGTGGCTCTGTCCCACGTGGCCCTCTCATGTCTGTCCACACTGCCCCTTGGTGCTCTACTGCAGTAACAAATCACACCCCGAGCTGGACTGCAGCACGGGTGAGGAGCCGGTGCCCAGTCTCCGTGGTGGCATGGCCGCACAGAGGAATGGAGAAGGGGTTGCGTGGATGACCTTAGTTCTTGTTTGTTGAGCGTCTTCCATCCTAACTGCTTTCCACATGTCCATCTTTTTTTTAATAAAAGGTATATTAAAAGGTACAACTGTAAAAGATAATTAGGGCACCACCATGGGTGTCACGAGAGGACTGTCCCTCTCAGCGGTGCTTATCTATCAGCCCCATCTGCTCCAGGGGGCCCGAGCACCACAAGGTTTGCCAATGGCACTCACGGCGGCAGCCAGTCTAGGGAAGCTGAAGTTCAGACCATCCACTGGAAAGAGAGAGACCAAGGGACTTCGGGTGCCAGCGTGGCCATGGAGCTCAGAGCTGTGCCTCAGACTCGTGAATGGCAGGTGGCCTGAGTTTGTGGGTGCTCAGCCCAGGGAGCACTTCCTGGCCTGCGTGAGGGGGGGCGGGGAGGCAGCCATGCTCAGCTCAAGTAGGGAGCCGGTTGTTTAGATGTCCTGCTCCACCCGTCAGCTGGCCTCGTAAACGCCCAGATGCGCAGGAGCCAAGTGGCCCCGTGGCGAAGTGGGGGCCCTGGGGGAACCGGCTGGAAGGGGCTGCCAAGTGGTGCCCAGAGATTCCAGCAGAGTCTCCTGACCTGCATCTCCCCCAGACTGTGGCGAGGTGGGGGTTACATATTAACTTGGGCACAGCCTGTCGGCGTTTACGAGGCTGGGTCTGGGTGACAGGGTGATGGGAGCCCACTTTGAAAAGAGGTTTTGTTCGCTGGTGCTGAAAGGGCATTGGGGTGCACTGCCGTCTAGTGCTGTGGACTTCAAGGCCCCAGGGACTGAGTGGGTTCTGAGTCCCTTGGGGAATTCAGAGGATCCTACTGCCACAGGCTCCTCAGCTGCAAAGTGGGCAGTGGCATCCTCATGAGAAAGGGGCAGGTGACCTCCCTGTGCAGCTCAGTTACATTGGAGGCCTCTAGACGGGCTGGCTGGTGGTGGGACTCCTGTGTCGTGTGTGGACACCGGCTGGCTACGGGCCCTAGGCAGTTTAAAGAAAGCCTCCTTTTAACCCTGACGAGGTTCTGTGAATGGTGGAAATGGATTCCTGGTGGTGGACGAACATGTGTTGGGTTCCTCCAACCTAGGGACTTTCCCAGATTTATATGGCAGGCAGGAGGGTCCTAGTGTGGTACCCTCTGCTTGGCACCAAGGGCATTCCGACTGCAGCTGGTGGGGTCTTTAATGTGTAAAGCGTTCCCGGGTATGCCATTCTGCCCAAGCTCTTGTTAATCATTGAGCTGACTGTGCCTCAGACACCCCACCTCTGTTTAGGGGTCAGAAGGAAGCCACATTGCTGAGTGGGTGCGTGACCCTGAGCCCATGCCGCTCCTGCTTGGCTGGCAAGCTGGACATGCTCCAGTCCTTGAGAGTTGGCCCAAGGTCACTGGAAATAGTACAGAGACAGAACTGCTGCTTGGAGGGAGACCGCCAGGTTCTCCGCCTGGGCCTGCAGGGGTGTTCAGAGCCTCCTGAGTCCCTGCTGGGGAAGAGGCTCCTGGGTCAGAAACACATGGGAGCTGGGCTGGAGAGGAGGGTGGGCCCTGGATGGTGCCATAGCTCTGTTCCCCATGACCTTATATCCAGGAGGAGGAAAGTGGGAATTCGGTTTAGAAGGGGCAGGGGCACTTGGAAGGGAGCTGGTGGGAGGTGGACTGGGATAGTGCCCCATTGCTGGGGACCCCCTCACGGAACCCCTTCACATGTCTCCCTCTCATGTGACCGTCATATGCGACTCCCTCTTACATAACCCCATTGCTGGGTGGCTCTTTCATGTGCGACCTCCGCGCCCCACTGTAACCTCCCGACACGATCCCCTTGCTGGTCAGCCCCTGCCCCACCCTTGCTTGTCCTGCTCCAGTAGCCAAATCTCTTGTGTCCCTTGCTGTCCACAGGGCACGGCTTCCGTCCTCCAGCGCCGGTCCCCCAATGAGGAGTATGTGGAGGTGGGGCGCCTCGGGCCTTCCGACTACTTTGGTGAGTGGGAGTCCCTTCCCTCATGAGCTGCAGTCATCTTGTGGGATCCCGGGAGGGAATCTGAGCAGGGAGGCCCATGGGAGGGGCCGGGGGGGCATTCCTGGCTCCACACACACAGCCTGCTGCCGCGGGATGAGGCCCAGGCGTGTGTGAGCTTCAGATGGACCATCAGTGACATGTTAGTATAAGCGTCTCTCCAACCACCAGTCACGCTTACTCTTTTAAGGATTTTGTTTGAGATTCAAATTAAATGAAGTGTCCTGGGGTTGGTTCTTCCTAAATCTGCTGCCCTGGCTGCACCCAGCCCAGGAGCAGCCACCTGCCCCAGGTTGGGCCCTGACCAGTCTGTCTTGGCCCCCAGGGGAGATCGCGCTGCTGCTGAACCGGCCCCGGGCAGCCACTGTGGTGGCGCGGGGACCCCTCAAGTGTGTCAAGTTGGACCGGCCCCGCTTCGAGCGTGTGCTGGGTCCTTGCTCCGAGATCCTCAAGAGGAACATCCAGCGCTACAACAGCTTCATCTCCCTCACCGTCTGAGTCCCTCCACTTCCTGCCCTGCTTCCCATGTGCTGGCGTGTTCGTCTGTGTCAGGAGGCCTTGGTGGGGGGCTGGTGTCCCAGCATGGGGGGACTGTCCCCTCCAGCGGACTCACCTTTGGAATAAAATAGTCACCTCATGCATTTCAACACAACAACCAAGGGTGTCTACACCTCACCCTCTTCTCCCTGCTCCATGGGCTTGTCTTATGGGACCCATCCTCATCTCCCCACATCTTCTGGGGCACATGGGGGTGTGCCCACCCCCAGGGGCCAAAGGCCCCAGCTATGAGTCCATGTTGACCAGACCTGCTGATGGCTCTCTTTGCCAGAGTTGGGCCAGGTCACCAGGTGTGGGTCTGAGTGTGGAGCTGGTGACAACACCAGGGATGTCCCACAACCACCCTTGGGCTTCGAGCCATAAGTTGAGGTTAGAGAAAGGGAGGGTCTTGGCCCCTCCCTCAGACACTCCTGCCCAGTCTGAGAGGGTCCTGTCCAGCGTGCCAGGGTGGGAGAGCCCTGCCTTGGAGCAAGAGAGGGTGGCTGGCCCAGTATGGCGGGGGGTCCTGGCTCAGGTGAGGCCATGCTACTGAAAGTGAACCCACACAGTGGGGTCTGGCCTTGCATTGGAATGTTTAAAGGTGTGGTCCTTTTTTGGAAAGGCCATCTTGGGCGAGCTTTGACAGGAAGTCAGGGGCAGCTGGTCACCTTGCTGGATTGAGATGGCTAGGATGGGGAGGAAACAGTGTGAGTTTGGGACTTTCCAAGATCCAGTGAGTGCTGTTCTCTTGGATTTGGGGGGAACCCAAACAATGTCTCCTATTATTGCAAAGTAGCTTATTAGAGACCTTGCAAGGAAGAGGAGGGAGGGGTTCCTCGAACCTGTTCTGGGTAAAGTTGTGAGAACCAGGCCAGGTCCCTTCTGCGTTATTCTCCAGATGATGTGCCTCCAGTTGGGGCCTTTGCCCTGGGAAAGAAAATGTGCAGCTCCCAAACTGAGCCTCCATTCTCACGTCAGAAAAAAAATTCAGTCAAACCAGCTGTGGGTCCCCCACACCCAAGTCATCCATTGATTGATTTCCCCTGAAAAATATCTTCACTCCAACACTAATGTGAGAGACAGACCTGGGGGGACTGGGCAAGGGTGGACAGAGAGCCTCGTGTGACTTCTGGGGACCTGAATGCTATCGAGATGGTGCAGTTAACCCGACTTTGCTTCTGCCTGTGCACGTCGGGAGGGGGGCTGCCCAGTCTTGGGGACCCTTGCCAGCCCTGTCTTTCCCTGTGGATGTGTCTGTGATGTGTGAACCCCACCCCTATTTATTGCAATGTTTTGAGTGCTGCATGTACTATTAAATGTGCAATGAAGTACCTCTTCTCGACTTGGGGGTTTTGGTCTGAAATCTTTAATAGATGGTTTCTTTTTCCTTTTTTTTTTAATAGTGGTAAAATGTAACAAATTTACTATCTTAACCATTTTTAGGTGTATGGTTCAGAGGCACCAAGCACACTCACACGTGCAAACATCACCATCATCCATCCCCAGAAGTTTCTCATCTTCCCAAATTAAACTCTGTCCACATTAACCTCTGACTCTCACCACTGCTCCCCACCTCCCAACACCCACCATCCACTCTCTGTCTCAATGGACCTGACTCCTCCAGGGAGTCACTTAAGTGGAATCACTCAGCATTTGTCCTTTTGCGTCTGGCTTGTTTCACCTGGCACAGTGTCCTCAGGTACCACAGGTGTCCTCAGGTACCCACCCATGATATATCAGACTCTCCTTTTTAAGGTGAAGGATACATGGGCCACATCATGTTGATCCATTTATGAGTCAATAGATAGGGTTTTCTTCTCTTTCTGGACTGAGTTGCATCTGCCCTCCATCAATGTACTGTGGGAGCTCCAGTGCTGAGTGCAGCATGGAAGGAAATAGGCAACAACCTACCTTGGGGGACCACACTTTGATGGTCCAGTGGGAAGCGGAAAGGGTGATTAAGGGGAGGTACATTTCTCAGTCCTGGTGTTCAGACTTTGGGAAGCAGAGTTTCATCCAATGCTGTAGCCCCTTCCTGGCCTCCTAGAAAGGCTTTCCATGAGGCCAAGGAATGGGCAGCCAGAGGCAGCCTCTGCCTTGTGTTGGGGAGACTTCAACCACCAGAAGAAAATGGGCCCACCACCATCAGCGGGTCTTAAAAGCTCTCACGGGCAGCATAGATCCAGGCGGTTCTGCTGTGGGGGCTGGGAAGGCCCATGAGAGGAGGGTGCAGCCTGCCAAGTCCCTCCTCTCTCAGCTGGAGAGGATCCAAGATCCTTGGGAAAGTCACAGTTGAGCCAGGAGACAGGACGCCGCCCTTCACTGCAGGGAGCCTACCCTGCTCCAGCAGCGTGGGGGCTCCGGAATAAGCAACAGGGTGACCTTGACTCACAGAAGGTCACTACAGATGACCAAGCAGTGGCTCCAGATGGGTGAGGAACCTGCATGCACCTTCCCTTGGGGAGTGAGAGGTGTTTCCTCTGGGTAAGAGGTACAGTTCTCAGTCCTGGGGGCCGGCACAGCCATTGCTTTGAGGGGTCTGCTGTGAACACTGTTGGCTCAAAGTCTGGCCAGAGCTGAGGTGCTAGAAGCTCTCTGGGGAGGTTGGGCCTGGAGGCCAGTACTCAAAGGGGTTTTGCCCCTCTGTGCACAGCTGGGGAGATGTGCCTCCAGTGCCCGAGCTGGGCTTGGGTGCTGGTCTTCCATGCTGGAGCCCATTGTCTTTCCTGAGAAGCTCTCCTGGGCTGGGCTGGGCTTACTGCCCTGCTCTGAGGTCCCACCACCCCTCCACTCTTCCCAAGGACGGCGAGAACCAGCCACAGTTGACTTCCCAGACTCCTCCACAGACGCAGGTGGGGAGCTGGCGCTCTCTGGGTTGTGTGGTCTAGGCTGCCCGGCACCTGGATTGTGGAGGAAGCTGAATGTCTTGGTTGTCACGAGGAGGGGGCAGGCCACGGGTCAAGCAGTGGTTTCAAACTGCTTTTCAGCATCATCTTAGGAATTCCATTCATTTCTTTCTTAAAATATCAATGTGATAATCAAAAATCATCGGCATACTGCAAAGCCCTGAGCCATGTGTGTAATTTTAAGTGTTCTAGCGGCCACCCCCAAAATAAAAGTAACAGGTGAAATTCTTTTCTTTATGGTCATTACCACACTGACCATGTTTAGATGTGCAGCCTGTGGCACTTAGAACATCACCCTGTCGTGCACTCATCTCTCTCATCTCCAGAGCTTTCTATCTTCCCAGCATGGAACTACCTCCCCTGCCCCTTCGCTCAGTCCCTGGCACCCACTATCTACTTTCTGTTTCTATGAAGAAATAGCCTTTAATAATTTATTTTACCCAATATATCCAAAATATTCTCATTTCTGCATGTAAATCAATATGAGAACTGTTGATGAGAGGTTTACAAGTCTTGGCAGCGAGTCTTAGGAATCAGTGTGGATTTACACTTGGAGAGCAGCTCAGTCTGCTCATAAGTGATGCGTGGCCAGTGGCTGCTGTGCTGGACCTAGGTCCACAGGAAATGGAGCAGGTGCATGGGCTGCAGGCCCTGGTTCTGAGCAGACCTCAGCATAGTCCCTCTGGCCCTCTGGCTTGGAAAAGGGTCCTGGGACCACAGGCGGTTTGGCTGCTGCCCCATTTGTGAGATCCTGGGATGATGAACACACCGCAAACATGGTACCTGCTGGATGCCAAGGTTGATGCCCCAACATTCATCTGTAAACCAGACTTCAGTTTTATCTTCATCTTGACCTCTTGATTGGCTCAAAGTTATAAATTTGACCCTATGAAATATAGAGTTATAAAGTAATGGCTATCTTTCCAATCCCATTTTAAATCTGCCAAAGACTTCGCCAGAGTTCTGTGGCTTAAGATGAGAGATCCTGGCTTGAGGCTGTAGCCACCCAGAGGGAAGGCGGTTGGGATCCTCACATTGCCTGTCAGTCAGGGCTGGAAGAGGGGCAGGTAGACAGACCTGGAGGTGTCTGGTTTGAGCTCCTGGGTGGGGGGGTGGGGGAGGGGTAGGAGCCAAAGACTCCTAAGACTGGAGGGGAGGTAGTTATTGAGCAACATACTTTAAAGAATCAGAACTGGGATTCAAACCTAGAGCCTGTAGCCTAGAGCCATAACAAAGCATACCCGTATGACCTCACAGTTCCCGGGGTAGGGAATCTGTAGCAGCCTAGTTAGGTAGCCCTGCTTGGGGTTTCTCATAGGGCTGCAGTCACTTGTGTGACTGGGGCCACATCATCTGAAGGTTGGACTGGGGTCTCACTCTTGGGGGCACCTCTGTGGCTGCGAGAGGGAGGCCTCAGTTCCTCACATGGGTACCTCGCCTTGGACTGCAGGGACAGCTGGTCCCCCAGAGCAAGCGACCCTGAGAACAAGGTGGAAACTTAGAATCCGCACACTATCTCTTTGGCCACATTCTCACCAACAGGAGCAGGTCACCAAGTCCTGCCCACACTTGGGAGGGGACAGGGCTGTGTGATGGGAGGCACATCAGCGAGTCTACACACTGACCCTGGATGTACCGCCTTCTGCTGGATGGCTGATGTGAGGAGCAGTGAGTGTGCCAGAAAACCATCTCTGTCCCCTGTGGGTTTCCATGCCACCACACAAGTGGGCAGCCAAACATTTGGAAGTTGAGGGGATCACGGTGAACCTCAGGGTCCCATTTTACAGGTGACAAACTTGAGGCTAAAGAGGGAGGTCGCTGGGCCTCCCCCATGGCGCAAGGTGTTGACCACAGGACTATGAAGCTATCCGCAGCCTCTGCAGCATGAGTTCAATCCCCCGTCAGCCAGGGAGCTACCCACATGGCACAGCAGACCTCTCCTGTCTCGCCCACTGCTCCCCTCAGCAGCGTATTTCAGTAGATCTGCCTTTTCTGCTCCCGCTGTCTCTGCTGAATCCTCTCACCCCCCACACCTCTGGCTTACACCCCTGTTCTTGTATGCATAGATAAATAAATCTTTAAAAAAAAAAAAAAAGAGGGTGGTCGCTGCTGGTTGCTCTCCGGACACAGCCCACCCTCTTGTTGGGGCAACCCCGTGGAGTGGACCTCACCCCTCTCTCCATGTGCAGCGCTGTGGGATGGACCCCTCCTCCTCTGAGGGTAGCTCTGTGGGTGGAACCCTTGATCTGAAAGTCTGGGCCCTAACTGTCCAGATTGACATCTCCTGTGTCCTCAGGAGTAGTCAGCCTGAAGGGAAAGAAAAGTGCAGAAAGACAGAGGTGAGTCCCCAGGGGAACCCCAAAACCACTCTTGCTTAGGACTTTGAAATCTCCCCTTTTTAAAGCTAGGTAGTTGAGGGTTCTGTCTCTTGCAGTCAAAAGCACCTGACAGACACATTTGGTGGTAATCTGTGTTAATTAAATCTACTGAGTCAAGCAGAGACTTGTTGAGTAGAAAAGGGGGCTTGATGGATGAGTGGATTCCCAGGCTCTGGCCTAGCAGAAACTAGGGTGCCCAGGGCATCCTCATATCTCATATGACTCATCTGGAGAACCATATCCCATGGTCCCAAACTTCCCAAGCTGGGGAAGCAACAGGTGTCCCCCTTGGTCAGTCAGTGATGGGACAAAATGGAGTCTGCCCACAAGGTTAGTGGGGACACCTTAGGTTTCTGGGTCATTTCTAGGGAAGGCAGCTCCATCCTAAATCTGCACAGGGGGCTCCTCTGCCCTGTGGCTGTGCTCAGGGATCCAACCTGATGCCCCCAGACTCCAGTTGGTTTATTCCCAGGTTCATTATGAGAGCACTGAGGGCTGTGTGTGCTGAGATCCCACACTCTGTCCTCAGAACCTGTGAGTCTATGACCTCACATGGTAAGAGGGACTCAGTAGATCTTAAGGGTCTTGAGATGTGAGATGATTCTGGGTCATGATGGGGGCGGGTAGTGTCCTCACCAGGGTCCTGAACGGATGGGGCAGGAAGGTCTGAGACAGAGAAGGAGCCCTGAGGATGGAAGCAGAGGGAGAGATTGATGCTGACTGAAAGGTGAAGAAGGGGTCACAGGCCAAGGAACGTGGGCACCTGTGAATGCAGAAAAGGAAGCAGACCCTCCAGGGTGCCCGCAGAGGAGTGCAGCCCTTCGGGCACAACAGACACTGATCTCAGGCTGGAAGTAATACATTTGGCGAGTTTTGTTACAGCCACCTTAGGAAACTCACAAGGAACCCACCGGTATTCCGACCCTGCTCTGCCCATCTCCATGCTGGATTGGGCCACCATGCTGTGTTGCTTCCAGAGTCCTGGGTCTGCCCGGGCTGTGAGCAGCAGGGCAGCCTTTTCTGGAGGGTGGGCTCTGATCCCCTGCTACCCACACAGC